CCCACTAATTAATTTTGGGATGGAACCTCACTTGAGCTTCATCTAGGCTTTCCTTGCTTACGGTGCGCTTCATCTGCGAAAGACTGCACCTGTTTTTTTTTCCCAGCTTCTTACATGTTATCAGAGCCGGTTATATCGGGTCGTGCAATGACGTGCCCGTTTTACCCCACGCACCCGTTTATGGGAGCTTGTTTCTAGTAGGACTTGGGCACCTAACTCCGTATATGGGCTTGAACTTTCTTATTGAGGACTCACAAATGAGGGGGCGTATTAAAATATTCACTTTTGAGTTGTCTCGCATCATTTATATAGGGAAAATAGGTCTAATTTATAAGTCTAATGGGTTACTTCTCCTTCCACCAAGTGGTTTTTGGGATGGAACCACACTTGGGCTTCATCTGGGCTTTCCCTGCGTATGGTGTGCTTCACGTGCTTGTGACCGCACCGATTTTTCTCCCGTTTCTTACATGGTATCAGAGTCGGTTCTATTGGGATCCAGTGCGATGACATACCCATTTTTCCCCACGTACCTATTTATGGGAGCATGTTTTTAGTAGGGCTTGGGCACCCAGCTCCGTATATGGGCTTGGACTTTCTTATTAAGGATTCACAAGTGAGGGGGTGTATTAAAATATTTACTTATGAGTTGTCTCACATCGTTTATATAGGGAAAATAAGTTTAATTTATAAGTCTAATGGCCTACTCCTCCTTCCATCAATTGGTTTTGGGATGAAACCTCACTTGGGCTTCATCTGGGCTTTCTATGTCTTAGTGCGCTTCATCTGCGTGGGACAACACCCGTTTTTCCCCGTTTCTTACAAACTCAAAATAAAAAATTGATTATGGTTATTCTAACCCATAAAAAGGAAAATAAAGCAATAGTCCACATTATCACTTTGGACAATCAAGTCGCCTAAAACCATCGAAGGATTTTTTTTTCCTATGTTTGCAAAAGTTTCAAAAAAAAAAAAAAAAGAAATAGTAGAAAATTGTGCTTGAAATATAGATAATGCTCCTCTACCCACGGTGAGCACGTGTTAATATGTCCACTGCTTATATGGCATGCACACATTGGTGATATTAGTAGGTTCATAAAAATACATCACCAATGTGTGCATAACACATAAGAGGTGGGCATATTAACATGTGCCCACCGTGGGTAGGGGAGCATTTCTCCTTGAAATATAATGAAAAGCAAAATAAGAGCATGCCATCAACTTGGACAAATGATAGTTAGTGATCACTACTAGAAGTCTATAGCCAGTTGCACGTGCAATTGGAAATTAAGAATTTTCATTGAAAATTTATCGATGATTGAGAGTTTTGACCGACGATTGCATATTTAGATACAACTTTGTATTAAAGAACCCTAATTTTCTTTTTATGAAAATTCAAAAAAAAAAAGTTGTTTTTTAAAGTTTAACAATGATTTACTAATACACAATAATAAGTCCTCTAGTTAGGGTTTTTTTCTCTCTATGATAACTCATGTTCTAGATCTTGGAATTCTGTACTTTGGCTTTCAATTTAGATCTTTGTATTTGAATCTTGTGTGTTTCAGTGTTCTTAATTGTTTCATCTAGTTAGGGAGTCGTGTTGTCTTCTTATAGCTTCTTTGTTGATCTTCCTTCGGTCGAGTCTTCCAACCCATTTCATTCCCTATCTGATGGTGTGTGTTGCTAATCTATTGTTGGCTGATTGTGCTTGTTTAACTGCATCAAGGTTTTGCTATTATATAGTTTGGGCTGTGTAATTTTCGTTTTTCCTGTATTTGTGCTTGGCTAGGGTTTTTGTTGGTATTCATCTTTAGTCTTGTAGGTTGGATATGTGTTGTTTGGTTTTGTCTTCAAGAGCTTTGTTAGGGGTGGGAGAGCTAGTGTTTAGTTGTTGTTAGGGGTGGGAGAGCTAGTGTTTAGTTGTTCGGGGTTAGAACTTCTCCTTAGGCATGGAGCAGGATATTTCTAAACAACTTCAGAATTTCAAACTATCTGAAAAAATAAGAAATATGTTTAGACTTGTTGGTGGATGACATAGCACCGCAGTTTTGAGAGTGCCAACTTAGTTTAATAGGAAAGATATATGGGGATAAAAAAACTAACTTTAGTGGATTAAAAGCTACTTTAGGAGGAATTTGGTTTACTAGAAGGCCCTTATCTATTAGGAACCTAGGAGATAATTATTTTTATTTCCTATTTCAATCTAAGGAAGGTAAAAATAAGATTCTTAATGGTAAAACTTGGTCCTTTGATGGACAATACATTCTCTTGAAACAATGGGATCCTGGTACCACAATTTTCAAGGAGGATGAAGCAGTTATCAAAATTTGGATACAAATCATTAACCTACATTTGCATTGGATTTCTGCTGCTACAGGAATGAGAATAGGCATTTTGCTTGGAAATGTTCTTGATGTTCAAGTACCTGTTGCTGGGAGTAATCTTGGACAATTGGTGAAAGTGTTGGTGGAGATCAAAGTCAAAGACCCAATTCTGAGAGGAACTAAGAATAGGTTAAGAGAAGAGAGCAAATGGGTGAAGTTCAGGTATGAGAATCTTCAGAACTTTTGTTACTTTGGACATCCTGATAGAGATTGTGAATCCATAAAAGAGAATATTAAACAGAATAGGTTAAATGTAGGTCAATTTGGGGAGTGGTTAAAAACTTATAGTACCCCCTTCAGTGATTTTAGGAGCCTTTTAAGTCCTAACATGGAAAGTCATGGGAGTGTGGAGAAAATTACTAAAAAACCTTGTTGGTCAGTGAAACCAGTGGGTGAATTTTCAAAACTGATGGTATAATGCCTGTCTCTCTGGTAAAGCTGAGTGTATGGAGGATAGATTGTGCCTTTCTGCATATATCATGTGGAGTATCTGGAAAGCTAGGAATAAGTGGCAATTTATGGGGGACTAGATTCATGAACAGGAAGTGGTTGGCTCGACCAGAGTGGTTGGAGTGGGAGAATGAAGGGGCCAGGGGTAACTCTTACTATGAGTTGGGAAATCTAAAAACAATCACAGATTCAAATCGATTTTCCAAAGGAGTAGAACAATTATCCTTAACTGCCAGTGCTATCAGGTCTGAAGATGGGAATGTTATCTTGAAATGTATTGTTTCGAAGGAGAATCACATTCAACAATGTCAAGAAATCATATAGGGAGCTTCAAAATATGAGGAGAATTTGTACTCAGCAGTCAGATGGAGCCTGGTAAAATCTAAAGAGATGGGCTGGAAATCAATGTTTTGCATTTTACACCATGAAGAAATTACAGAAACCTTGAACAGAAGACTGTTGAGTGCAAACTCGAATCCGATGTGCTAATGGAAATTTATGGCCTTGTTGTTGTTTGTAATGTGAAGTACTTTGCTTATTCTTCTTCTTTTTAAGTTAGTATGTGGACTGTGTGTTAGTCTTTGAGGGGAAGTTCTTGCTTTTCTGACTCTATGGTGTACTCTTTGTGGAGACTCTGATTAGGATTCAATCAGTTGGTTGTATGAATACTTTATTTGAGTTTTTTTATATTTGTTTGTCGTTGTGGAAAAAAAAACAATGATTTAATACTAATGTATCACATGGCAAAAGTAATGAACCGGGGAGATTTTTATGTAGCTAAATGAGGGTTAATAGTTTTTTTTTTTTTTTTTTACATAAGCATTTTTTTATCTTTTTTTGCAAAGATAGATTTTATAGAACGAAACACACAAATACAAACTAGAAAACAACAAATCCGTTGAGAAACCTGTCAACCAGCTTCTAGGTGAGGGAGCTACACAAAGTGTAGTCTAGAATCTACATAAAAACAACAAACACAGCATACGATGACAAACAACACTAACCCCACAAAGGAGAAGGAAAACTCTCACAAGTGGAGAAACTCCCAACCAGGAAAACAAAAAAATGCGGCATTAACCAACAACACAACACAAACAAGAAAAACATACAAAAAACCAAGCAGTATAGCGCTCTCCACACCGGACAACAACCCCAGCACGACCAACAAAACATCTAGAGAGCGAGTAGCCGGGAAGAGGCCCCAATATCTAGACCTTAAGTTGGGCCTCCGATCTAAAAACTCCAATAGGACTCGCGAAACTCGTCCAAGTCAGTCCACCACCACAGCCCCTCCACGCTAGCTCCGGGGCCGACTCACAAACTGACACCGCCAAAAGAGGTCCCGACCATCCCAACACCAGGGGGCGGAAAAAGAGAAGACCAAGGCCAGACCGCCAATGCATATGCGAATGCCCGCAGCAGACGCCGGACACCGTGCCTTGCACCCCATGCGTCGAGCTCATCCGCCTTGGCGCTCTAGACCAAGAGTGAAACCAGCACGGGGAGAAAGAAGCGAACAACCACCAAGCCTGGGTCGACAAGCCTGGACCGAGCCTGATGCTCCACGGGAGCAGAAAAAAACTGGGACCGCCGAGAGGGAGGCTCACCTGGCGGATGGGAAGTTAGGGCTTGGTGGAAAGAAATTTGGTTTCCTCAATTTTTAGTGAGAGTAACTTTTAACAATTTCGTGCATGACTTCTTTTATTTTATTATTTTTTTTTTTTTTAACAGAAGCATTAGCCTTAACCAATTTTATGGACGAAATGTTAGTACCAAAACCGACTCGTAAAATTAGTAAAATATGGGAATTAAAAAATGAAAACGAGGTAATGTTGTAGTTTTTTTTTTGGTACAATAACCTTCCGGTTTCTGGATTCACAGGGGACCCGACTAATCCGGAATCGAGTCGGGTAGTACCACAAGGGCGGCAAAGCTCTCCCTCAAGAGTCTTAACACTGCTGCATTCTCAGGGCTCGAACTCAAGACCACTGGTTAAGCTGGAAGAGACCCAAGCCATCTCATCCAAGTGCTCTTGGGTAGCTAATGTTGTAGTTTAAATGTTTAATATACGACATGTTCTCTTTATTTTTTACTTCCAAAATTTTCATCAACCATTTTCCTCCATTTTCTGTACAAAATAACAATAGACACACAAGACATCACATAAAAATGGCGCTCCCAATCTCACAACTCCCCTTCTGCCCTTCCAAATTCACCGCCTCGAAAACCTTCTCCATCCCCACCACACGTAAGGCCGCCAAGTTCCGCACGAAAATTGCGCCCAAGCCCCTCAGATTCGCCGCAATCGCCAAAGCCTCCCAGGAAGAAGACAACAACGCCGCCGCCGGCAAAATCGCGGGCCCGGACGCCGAGACCCGGGCCGAGAGATCCCAAGACGAAGAGATGACGGAAATAGGGCTGGAAATAAAAAAAGCGATGAGTGAAAGGGGGCAAAATGAAAAGTCGGGTTTCTTGAGCGGGGTCGCCGAGGAAATAAGGGAAATTGAGTGGCCTTCGTTTGGGAAAGTGTTGGGGACGACTGGGGTGGTGGTTGGGGTGATTGCGGGCTCGAGTGTCGTTTTGCTCACTGTTAATGCCGTTTTGGCCGAGCTTTCGGATAGGGTTTTTGCGGGGAAGGGCGTTCAGGATTTCTTTGGTTGATGGGATCTGGTGCGGGAGGGTGCACGGCTTT